AAGGTGCTGCTATAAACATGGGTGTGCATAATCAGTGAGTATGATGCTTTTAATTCTTTCGGGAAGATACCAAGAAGAGGTAGAGCTCATCAAATGGAACCTCAGGTTTTAGTGTTTTGAGGAATCTCCACACTGATTTCCGCAGTGGTTTCCCCAGTCTGCACTCCTGCCAGCAGTGGAGCAGGGTTCCTCTCCCCCCACCACGACAGCCCCTCTAGCATTTGTTGTTGGCTGATTTCTTGACAGCAGCCATTCTTTCTGGGGTGAGCTGGAATCTCATTGTTTTCATTTGCATCTCTCGAATGACCAGTGATGTTGAACTTTTTTCACATATTTTCTGTTTCTAATTCTTCATCTGAGAAGTGTCTTTTCATTTCAGGTGCCCATTTTTTTGCACTGGGTCTTTCAATTTGAGGGGTCTGATTTTTTTGAGTTTTTAAAAATATATTCTAGGTAACAGCCCTTCATTTGAACAGCTGGTAAATTTTTTTTCCAACTCTATGGGTTGTCTCTTTACTCTGTTCGTGATTTCTCTTGTTGTGCATAAGCTTTTTAATAAGATGAGGTCCCAGCTGTTGATTCTTTGTAGTATTTCCCATGTGGTCTGGGTTTTGTTCATGAAGTCTTTGCCTCCTCCTATGTCCTCAATCATTCTACTTATTCTCTTGTCTTCTTTTTAGTGTTTCTGTTTTGTATTTAGATCTCTGATTTTAGTTTAGTGCATGGTGAGAGATAAGGATCTAGTTTCAGTCTTTGACATGTGGAAAGCCAGTTTTTCCAGCACCATTTATTAAAGAGGATGTCTTGGGCTGGGCATGGTGGTGCACACCCATAATCCCATCACTCAGGAGGCTGAGGCAGGAGGATCGCTGTGAGTTAGAGACCAGCCTGGGCTACATAGTGAGTTCCAGGTCAGCCTCAACTACATAGTGAGACCCTGTCTCAAAAAAACAAACACACAAAAAAGAGGCTATCTTTCCTCTAGGGAAGGTGTTTGGCCCCTTTGTCAAAGATGAGGTGGCTGAGTATGTCTACCTGTGTCACAAAAACAAACACACAAAAAAGAGGCTATCTTTCCTCTAGGGAAGGTGTTTGGCCCCTTTGTCAAAGATGAGGTGGCTGAGTATGTCTGGAATTGTTTCTGCATCCTCTAGCCTGTTCCATTGATCCTCAGGCCTGTTCTTTTGCCAGTACCATGCTGTTTTTATCACCATAGTTTTATAGTATAATTTAAAGTCAGGGATTGTGATGCCTTTGCCTTGCCTTTGTTGCCCAGAATTGCCTTTGCTAATCTAGGTCTCCTGGTTTCAAGTGAATTTAGCATTGCTTTTTATAATTCCATTATGCATGGCCTCGCTCAATGATGACATCTGTTCCTCACTGCAGCTCTCCTGGCAGGTGCAGAGGGCCACTGTGGAGCTCTTGCAGAAGGGGTAGTGGGGACCTTCTCTGGCTGGTGTTGGACTCACACTGGATCCTGGGGCAGGGCTCCCAGGAGGTTCGCCAGGCCCAGGCTGAAGGCTGTGAGGTAGACAAGGCCAGCTGGTCAGAGCTGCAGAACCACATGGACCAGGAGCCACTCCATTTCAGTACCAAAGCCTGTGGCCAGGGCCCTGGGTGATCCAGAACCAGTCTGGGCATGGAGCACAGGTCCTAGAAAACCTCTCTGTGGGCAGTCTAGCCTCCGGTTCTCCCCAGTTCTGCTGTTCTCCTGGTCTGCCTTTGGTCCAACTTTGAAGGTAAAGAAAGGGGATTCTGGAATAGGACCCAGAGCCCCTGGCTGTCTGAGGGTCAGGGGATGGGCTGCCCTCTTTTTATCTCATAACATTTTGGTCCCTGTAGTGCCCTCTCTTCCTCTTATAGTGTATGCTGTGTTTCTATTGGGTACACAAGAAAATCTAGTCTAAAACTAGAGTTAACAAAGCTTTAGATAGTCATAGTATTGATGAATGGCTGTCGGGTATAAACTGAAGCATTAGGTATGCAGCTATGCACACCTCCCACTCCTCTTTAGGCTTTCACCTGTCCCCTCAGGCACTGTGAGTCGCTGATGCTGAGGAGGACCATGGTGTCCAGCCCTCTGAGCACTGACGCCTATGGAGTCTGTCTGTGAGGGTCGGCTCCCCAGACTTCCCTGAGCATGGGGGATGGGTGTCCGTGGGGTGTGTGCAGGGGCTCTGGAGGAGTGAAGCTGCAGATGCTGCCAGCTTGGGAGTGACTCTGGGTGAGCAGACCATGGCCTGGAGCTGTGACACAACTCGCCCACTATTTGCTGTATGTAGGACCAGACCCAACACCAGGGTTTTGTTCCTCCATATCATATTTTCATATTTTTGCAAATCTCCAAAATCAATTCCAGAGGGATTTACTCACTTTATAATTCAGCTGCTTCCCTGTGCCTCATGTGCCAAATCTAGATATTTGCTGAGGTTTTCTTTTGCTTCCTGCAAGTTTGCACAGACTGGTTTATTCTCCCCATAGACAAATGCTTATCAAGTATCAAATTGTATTTGATCACCCTTTGTTCCCAAGCACTCCTTGTGGTGTCCACGGTGTGAGGAAGGACAGTGATTACTGGGAGGAGGGCTCCAGCATGTGACGGGTGGGACCCGCGAGCTCATGAGAGGCACCCTGTTGGGTGGGGGTCCTTGGCCCCGAGGAAGAGACATCTGACTGGACCTTAGGGGTACTGAAGGCTGGTCAGGTGGGAGGGATGGGAAGGAAATCCGGGCAGTGCACCTGTCAGGCATCGGGGACGCGCTTGGGATATGCGGAGCTTTAGGTGACTGAGTTTGGAGCTTGGCGGTGGACCAGGGGGTGAGAGGCCTGGCCAAAGCGCAGGAATAGACTGATGAGGGGCCTTGCAGGTCCCACTACGGGGCTCGTGGGGTTCTCAGCATGGCTGGCCACTGGCAGGGTTGCTGCTCCAACACCATGAGCGGATGTAGTGGCATGGTGGATGCTAACAGAGAGAAGTGGTTCAGGAGACAGATAGGAAGTGGTCACTACATGGGTGAGGGAGAGAAGGACAGGCCAACTCTGCTCCTGGTTTGTTTTGTTTTGACACAGTCTCGGCTGTATAGTTCAGCTGGTCTTGAACTCACTATGTAGCCTAGGCTGGCCTTGAATTCGAGGGGATCCCCCTGCCTCAGTCTTCTGAGTGCTGAGACTACAGGCCTGTGCCACCATGCCTGGCCTGTGCTCCTGTGTTTCTACCCTATGGTGGTCAATGATTCGTTTACAGAGAGCAAAAGAACATAATTCAGGCTGTGCTTGAGCATTTTGGGCTTGGGGAATGCTGGGTGTCTGTGGAGATGCCTGGTGAGCGTTGCTCAGAAGGCCCACAGCTCAGGAAAGGTGCAAATCTGGTCATCAAAACATGACGGTATGGTGCTGGCCCTGGGGCAAGCACCTGTGGTCCCAGCTACTTGACAAGCTGAGGCAGGAGCATTGCTGATGCAGGAGTTTGGGGCAAGTCCAGGGAGCACAGAGAGACTTTGGAGATAAATCCCCTGCCCACCCTGAAGGGTTTTAAGGCCTTTTCTCTATTTTTGGTATTCTGCAATGTCCCTATGATACATACTTATTACTTTGTTTTCTATATTCTCTCTGGAATTCTTTTGTGGTGCTGGGGATTGAGCCCAGGGCCTCAGGCTGGCCTGTATGCCCTCACCTGAGCTCCACCCAGCCCACTATCTTTTTTTTTGTACCAGGGATCGAACTTGGGTCCTTGTGCTTGTGAGGCAGGTGGTGGAACCACTGAGCTAAATCCCTGGCCCAATATATTCATATTCTTACACAGCTCACTCCAGAACGTTTTTATCTTGGAAAAGTAAAACTCCATCCATTCAGTGACAGCTTTCCATCTCTTCTTCTCACTAACCGACAACTGTGGTGTTTGACTCTTGTGGTGGGTGTATTTTCTTAGCCTATCTCAAGGATCAGCTGTGATTCTTCCTGCTGATATCCACCATGTGCCACACTGTACATCCATTCATGCGGCACGGACACTTCACGTGCTGGCTGTTGTCAGTAGTGCTGCCATGGACACGAGCGTACACGTTTGTTTGAGACCTTATTTTCATTCTTTGGCTATATTTGGAGAAGTAGATTGCTGGATCAGATGATAACTCTCATTCATTTATTTATTTACCAGGGCCAAGGATCAAACCCAGGGCCTTTAGCATCTCAGGCAAGGATCTTACTTCTACCCCTGAGCTACACTCCCCAGCCATCAGTTTAAGTGTATTTATTTATATTTTTGAACCATCTTTGGTACTCTGAATGGAATCTAGTACCTTCACTGAGTCAATCCCCAGCCCCTGTTTTTATCTTTTAATTTTGAGAGAGGGTCTTGAGAAGCTGCTCAGGCTGGGCTTGAATTTGGCAGTCGTCCTGCCTCAGCCTTCCAGAGTACTAGGGTGATTGTGTGTGCCATCACACCTGGACCTTTTTTCCCTGCAGTGTTGCAATGTTTTACTTTCCCATCATCATGTGCAATGTTTCACATCCTCTTTGTGAGGTGCTGAGCTGATGTTGGAATGCTCCCTGGCACATGGCTCTCATTGCCTCCCCTGTAAGCCCTCGCCTGGGGGGCCAGTACTGCTTCCGTCATGCCTTGGTCACATGCCCTGCACAGGTGAGAAGCGGAGGTCTTCAGAGGGAGAGGACTTGCTCACATCCTCACAGACTTCCCCCTGGCTCCCTCAGGGCCCGCTTGGGGTTTGGCTCTTCCTGGGGCGGCCTGTGTCCCACAGCCTGTGCAGTTCACTCATTGCTCACTGGTGCCATGCTCTCTGTCCCTGCAGATCCATTGGCGCTCCTCCAAGCAGGGCCTTGGAGGGCAAGGCCGGCACCATTACCTCCAACGAGTGGAGCTCTCCCAACTCCCCTGCGGGGAGCAGCGCGTCTGGGGGTAGCCAGGTGTTGGACAAGCCCATCGACCACGATGCGGAGGGTGTGTGGAGCCCGGACATCGAACAGAGCTTCCAGGAGGCCCTGGCCATCTACCCGCCTTGTGGCCGTCGCAAGATCATCTTGTCGGATGAGGGCAAGATGTATGGTACGGAGGCTGCAGGGCTAGGCAGCCCTGGTTCACAGTCCACGCCTGGAGTAAACGAAGCAGGGGCATGGACACAGGCTTGTGGTCCTCTCCAGGTGCCTCTCAGGGCTTCTCCCAGGGGGGCACTGCTTCGGGCCCTCTAAGGAGAACCCCGTGGATGGGTGAGGAGGGTAGGCCCTACAGACGAGATGCTGCAGTAGTGGAAACTTTAGAGCTGGGCCCGTGAAAGAAGGACCACAAGAAAGGCTCACTGTGGACCTTGCTTACCGCCTCCCTCCCTCAGCTCGCTCATCCACTCGTCTGCCAGAGCAGGCGCAGCTTCTGTGTGCCACACTTGTTATGTGGGCACCTGAGTAACTGTGCCCCAAGTCCGGCCACTGTGTGGGAAGGATGGCAGTCACACAGGGCCCTGTGACGTGGGTGGAGGAGAGGGCATCTGGAAAAGAAAGCCAGAACCAAGACAGAGCGGCTGCTGCGAGGCCCAGGTCAGGCTTCTGTCCCATGCTGAAGGCCTCCGGGACCTCCGGTTTGGCAGTGGCCTCAGGACAGGACCTGAGGACTGACAGCACCTGTGTACCTGGCCCACATCAGTGACAAGAGAGGGTCCTGCCTGGGCTTCAGCGCCGTGGCTCCAGGCCAGCTGCCCACCACCGGCACCCTCCTCTAGTGCAGGCTCTTGTTCAGAAGGCCAGGGCTTGAAGTCAGATCGGCAGGGCTGGTGTCTTGGGGCTCAGAGGGTGACCTGTCCCATGCCTCTCTCCTGGCTTCTGGGGCTTGCAGGTGATCTGTGGCGTTCTTTGCTGTGCCCACATCTTCCCAGTATCTGGCTCTGTCTTCACCTGGCTGTCTTCCCTGTGTGTCCTCTTCTCATAAGAACACCAGCTGCTGGATTTTTTTGAGGCAAAACATTTATTGGTATACCACACACACACACACACACGTGTGTGTGTGTGTGACAATACTCATCACAGGGAATGTGTACCTGAACGTGATAGATCCTGCCTCTCTTTTTCCATTCCCTCCTTCCCCCAGCCCTTCCCCTCTCTATATAGTATATAGCTGTTGGATTTAGGGCCACCTTTATCCAGTGTGACCTCATCTTAACTAATATGCCTACAAAGCCCTGTTTCCAGATCATGTCAGATATTGGGCCGGGGGTATATGTCAGTGGCAGAATCCTGCCTAGCAAGTGCAAGGCCTTGGGTTTAAGCTCCAGGGTCATAAGATAAACTAAACAGCATCAGATACTGAAACTCTGGGTGAATATAAATTCGGGGGACACATTGTGTCAAATTTCTGTCACTGACAGACTACTCAAGAAAATCAACTTCATAGAGGAAATGGTTTATCTTGGTTTGTGGTTTCAGAGGACTCAGTCCATGGTCCCTTGTTCCATGGTTTCTGGACCCTGTAGTGAGGCAGCACATCTTGGTGGAGTGCAAGGAGGAGCAGTGCTGCTCCCTGTGGTGTCTGGGAAGCAGGGCAGTAGAGGAGGAAGGGGCCAGGACAGCATGCAGCCCCTCCTGAGTTCCACCATGTCCTCCTGTCCTGTTAGGCTGAGGCTCCATCACTGGACTCCCCCGTTGATGAGGTTGTGGCCTTATGATCCCACATCATCCAGAGGCCCCCTCTGAACACTGCTGCCTTGGGGTGCAAGGTTTCAACACGTGAGCTTGGGGCACATTTCAGACCCAAGCCGTGATATTCTTCCATGTCTTCAGCCCACTGAAGTCAAGCCTACCTTGTTCTTGGCCTGGGGGTAGTGGGGTTCTGAGGGTCCTTCCTTCCTCAGAGTCTGCTAGAGTCTCTCAGACAGTGAGTGGAGAGTGGGTTGGCCGCCAGGTATTTGCTCCCAAACATGGCACTGCACCCTCACCCCGAATGGCCTCATTGCTCCCCTCCTCAACCTGCCTCTGCCTGGCCCTGACTGAGGTAGGTCAGGCCCTGGGAAGGGGCTGGAAGCCAGACATTGAGTCTGACAACTCACCTGGCCTGCATGAGCAGCGGTTCTGCAGGAGCTTGACTCTGGCTTAGCCCATCTCTTCTTACCATGTCCAGCTGACCCAAGGCCATGCTACATGGGGAGCCGAGGGAGGGCCGCTCTGCAGGGTTGGCCCATCTAGCTGGGAGGTATGGATAGCTCTGAGCTCACCAGCATGTGGGATGGGTCCCTAGGTGGAGACTGTGCTACCCAGCCACTTAGACTGGTCTCGCTCTGGTGCTCTGTCCACTCTGCTCCCCTTGGTGACCTGCTGTACCTGTCCAATAGCCTGTAGCCCCATCCAGAGCCTGCAGCTGGCTGCTACCACTGTCTTTATGTTCCCTGAGTCCCCTCACCAGAGACTGATCCGGGTGGGCCGGGCCTGCGGGAATATGCAGTTCTGAGAGCAAGCAGGCAGACCTGGGTGCTGAGAGGAGGATTGTGGGCTGGGGAGCAGGGGCCTAGTCTTGGCTTCTGAGAGCAGGGATTAAACATGCACCCAGCCCAGGCCAGGGTCACCCGGTGCAGTACCCCCGGGCAGGGCCAGGCAGACATGCAGATGACCTGCAGAGCCGCTTCGCGGATTAGCACCTGTTATTTCTGCACCAAGCCTCCCACGCTTGCTGGCCACCCCCAGCACCTCTAGCCTCTCAGGCCAGCTCCCAAGGGTGCTCACTCACCCTCACGCTGCCTCCGTTTTTGCCCTGTCACTGTCGTGCTGTTGCTCTGACCTCTTTCGGCCAGGCTGCCCTGGGCACAGGGGCCGGGTTGAGGACAGAGCAGTTGTAGCCCTTATCTGCCTCCCCTTCTGCAGCTCAGCGCCGGCCCTGTGTGATCTCTTCTTCCTGATCCTCTAGAGGATGTGGCTGACACAGTTGACTTCTGTGTTCATTCCTTTCTGCCCTGTTCCTTGGTTTTCCTGTCTTGTCTGCCCTGCATTTGTCCTCTGCTTGTCCTCTCCTGTGCTCCAGCTTGGTGTCCCGTAGGCAGTTGGTGCATTCTTTTTTGTGTGTGGTACTAGGGATGGAACTCAGGGCCTTCACGTTCAGTTATGTCTCCAGCCTGAGACAGGGTCTCGCTGAGTCACTAAGTTGCCATCTAGGCTAGGGCTCGGGGGCTGTAGCTCAGTGGCACTGTGCCTGCCTCATAAGCACAAGGTCCTGAATTTGATCCCTGGTACAAAAAAAGAGAGAGAGAGAGAGAGAGAGAGAGAGAAGGCAAGGCCAGGTGTGGTGGCGCACACCTAGAATCCCAACCATGGGAGGCTGATGCAAGAGGACTGCAAGATTGAACCCAGCCTTGTCAACTTAGTGACTTAGCAGAATTCTGTCTCAAAGTTTTAAAAAAGAGCCCCCCCACAAAAAAAGTGAAAGATCAGAGTGAGGGCCATGGGAAGTGGCTTCCCATCGTACCAAAGCCCCTAGGCTCCGCCGGACTCCCCAGCTCCCAGTCCTATGGTCCCCAGGGATCACTTGGGCCTTCTTGCTCTTATAGCGGCAGCACAGAGTAGAGCAGAACTGCTGGACCACAGTGGAACCAGTGCAGTGCCTTTCCCTGGAAAGCTCTGAGGAGAGACCTCTTGCTGGACTCCCAGTTTCAGGTGCGGTCCAGCTTGCAGGCATGGTGTCCAGAGTCTGATTGTCCCCTCCCTTCTTCCTCAGACAGACAGGACAGTGCACCCAGGCCAGCGTCTCCTGTCAGACGGACCTCCTGAGGGTGGACTCTTATCCAGCCTTGGCAGTAGGGAAAGGTCAGCTGGGTGGCCAGTGTGGTCCTGGCCAGGCTGCCTGGTTACTACCCAGGGGATAGACAGCCTGCCTCACTTACCTGCAGCTACTACGGCCCCAGGCTGGAGCAGAGTGACCCTCTGCCGGCTTGAGCCCCTTGCCCTCCTCTCTTCCACCTAGTATGTGGTCTACTCCTACCCAGTAGTTGGTCCAGCCTTGTCCCCTTGTCCCCTGAGCCCATCCTTGCCTCTAGTACATGCTGGGTCACCCCCTCCCAGCAAGGTGCTGAGCTCTTTGAAAGCGCAGCCTCTTTTTGTTTTGTCTCTGATGATAATCAAGGATGCCTGGGGCTCCTACGGTCCAGGATCCTGCAGGAACAGCAGCTGCCGCCCAGCTGGAGTTAGAGCTGGGGAGGAAGTGGATGTTGCTAGTTTGATTACCTGGTTTTGCAGGATGCAGGCTAAGCAGGGCTGTGCCACAGAGCTGCACCCCTGATAGTTTCTGCTCTCTGGGTGATGCTCTGGGCCTCTTCTCTGGTACACTCAGGATCTCAGCACGTAGGAGACCTATGCACTTGCTTGCCCACACACGGCACATCTGATAAGGCTCTGACCATTTCCAAAGGCTGTGGGAACCTCACACAGGATGACCGGGAGCCAGACACTTCCCAGAGCTGCCCAAGTCTGCAGAAGGCCTCAGGGAGGCTCGGATAGAGAGAAGAGCAAGGCTGCAGTCTTGGAGGCTCTGGAGGGCTCTTTGGGCTGCGAGTGACCAGCGACATGTGGGCCTTGTAACCTCTGTGTCCTCAGGTCATCTGTCCAACCAGCAAAGCCTTGGCTTCCTTTTGCTGTGGGGATCAAGGGTGGCAAGTTGCAACCTGCAGAATCTGCACTCAGGTCCCACCCAGGGAAAGTGGAGTGAGGAGAGGGCCCCAGGGAAGCCACTTTCTGTTTCCCTTTCTCCTGTGCTCCTCTTTCCCACTGAGAGGCTGTCCAATCTTTGCAGGTCGCAATGAACTGATTGCCCGCTACATCAAGCTTCGGACAGGGAAGACCCGTACCAGAAAGCAGGTGGGCTGGGGAGATGGGCATGGCCTGGGTACGGTACTCCAACTACAGCTAGCTCCCGGGGTCCATGCCCTCCCCAAGACCAAGAGTGGGCTCTTGAAACAGGGTAGCTTCTGAGGGTCCTGTTCTGTCCCTTGGAGGAGGCTCCTGCCTGCAGCCCCTCTGCAGGACAGCAGGAAAGACAGCAGACACTGCCACTGCCTTTGGGAAAAGTAGCCACACTTGGGATTTGCTGAGAGCCTCCTGCATGGCTTTCATTTACTCGTCTGTCTGTGCACAGATGTGGGTGGGGGCCGAACCTGGGGTAACTACTGCTTGGAAGGTGAGAACAGGAGCCTCTCTCCCTACCACAGGTCTCCAGCCACATCCAGGTGCTGGCTCGACGCAAAGCCCGTGAGATCCAGGCCAAGCTCAAGGTAAGATGACCAGCAGCAATGGGGGGGGGCAGGGGGCAGGCAGCTGGGTCTCCATGGGGCCAGCACCCTGAAGTTGAGGCTCTGTTTCCAGAAGCGACCATTTCCCTGTGGGCTGGCTGCTTGCATGCTGAACCCAGGGGCTGTGTGCTGTCCAGGATGGTCAGAATGAGCCGAGACTGCTCTCTGCAGCACCTCAGGGCCTGGTGTGTGATCACCAGGCACCTGCTCCCATGTGACCTGCAGGCCAGGCTCCAGCTGTGCTACAGCCCCTGGCTCAGAGCAGCCGCATTGCCTGCCAGACCCAGTTCCTCAAAGACTTCCTGCTGGCCCTCTCTGGACCCCTCAGCACCCTCAGCCATAGCCCCACGGGTGGCAGGGTTTGGTGGAATCACAGTAAGGGCCATTGAAATTCCTTCCTGCTTTGAAGGACTGACAGTTGCTTACCTCCCTGGTCTGCCCACTGCAGGGCCTCTGCTGACATGGTTCCTGTTAGGAAGTTGGGCCTCCTGGCCCTGGAACCAGGGGCCTCTCTGATGGTCACTAGACAGGAGTGGGCTAACAACAGAGGTGTTTATAGTAGAGCCTGTGCAGCCAGTTGGAAGAATCTAACCTTTGGGCCCTTCCTTGAAATAAACAAGTAGTTTACAAACTTTTAAAAAATTTTATTCATTCATTCATTTATTTATTTGTTGAGACTGGTCTTGTGTCTTTGTTACTCTTTTCATTACTGAGACGAAATACCCAAAGTTAAAGGAGGAATAGTTTATTTGGCTTATAGTTCACAGAAGCTTCAGTCCAGCTGGCTCCAAGGCAGAGTGGCACAGGGCAGAGGGGTGTTGCAGAGGAGAAACAGTTCATGGCAGGCAGAAGACAGCAAAAGCAACAAGGGTCCTTAATTTCACCCTTCTGATCCTTTTCTTATCCAGATTCCTTAGGACAGGAAATACACACATTCTTAATCCTAGGCCCTTGAGCCTAGCAGTGCACCATGAATCAATTTCAGTGCCACACACTCTAGATCCATTCACCTCTGAAAAAGCCCCACTTGTGACTGCATGAGGCTTTGGGCAACATCTAGACACAAGCCGTATCATCTTACTATGCAGTTCAGGCTGACCTTGAATCTACTTTGTATTCTAAGCTGTCCTTGAACTTCTGGAGATCCTCCTGCCTTGGCCTCCCAAGTGCTAGGATTATAGGTGTGCGCCACCATGCTGGCTACAAACCTTTTTTAAAGCAATGAAGGTCTCTTTAATTTTCTCTCCCAATAACAGTCTCACCCAAGTATGCTGAAAAGCTGTTCTGCTTATAGCTAGGTTGGTGAGGAGCAGGCCAGAGAGCCTCCTCCCATATTGCCTGTTTCTACTAAACAAAAACTCAGGGTACCTCCAAACCCAATTTAAGAGCCACAGATGCAGATAACCTCACAAGTCCCACCTGGATTGGTAGTCCAAGGCCCTACCTTGCCTCCTGGATCAAGGTGGTGGGAACTTTAGACCTCACTGTCCCAGCAAGCCACACCCCCTCCAGCCGAGCTGTCAACTGCACCCCACAGGTGTTGTGGTTGTGGCCCTTTGTTCTCTGTGCCTGGGGCAAGTGGCCTGGCCACAGCTGCAGGCCCTGCTGGAGCTCTGCTTGCTCCTGTGTCTTCTCTTTGTCTGTGTCCAACTAGCTGGGGCTCTGGCAGGTAGCAGGTGGAGGACAGACTTCCCAGTGCTGTGCTTGGAGTGTCCAGGACAGGGGCAAGACCTGTGGGGCTGCTATACTGCCCATGCATGGTTCAGAGCATCCCATGCACCCTTGCCCTGGGCTCCATCTGGGAGTCAAGGACGGCCATCTGTGGACTGCTGGGCAGGAGCCACAAACCTTTACCATGGCAAACTTTCATGTGTGCGTATGTTTTCCTCGAGAGATGGACCTGAGGATTTTTTGTCCTACTCTTTTGTTTTTGTAATCAAACACAGGACCTTGCACTTGCGAGGGAGGTGGCAGTTTTGTCCTACTCTTGAGGGATTCTGGAACCTTTTGGAGACACATTCAAGCCATACTTGGAACAGGCTCGCAAGGCCACTACTGCTGTCTGCACCCTCATTGCCTAAACTCACTGAGCCTTAGTTCCTTTCCATTCTTCCTCTTTTTTTTTTTTTTTTTTTTTTTTTTTTC